CACATGTTTTTGAAAAATCTTTAAATCTACATATACGAAAAAAGCAGAATCCTTACCCTTTCGTCGACACATGTTTCTTCAATCCGCCGAAAACGTCAAACATCTTGGCGGCTGAGAAAGGAAGCGAGGGAAAGCGCCGTCAGCTGATCGTGAAGGAAACCGTTTGTGAAATTCGAATTTAAAAAAGCGAATGTGGGATTGTTAACTCGAGTTCTAAGTTTAGAATCCATAATTAATTCATTATGAACTGAAGAACAAGATGTGTGATTGTTAACTCGAGTTTCTAAGATTAAGAATCAATAATTAACTCATTATTAACTGAAGAACAAGGAGATGTGTATTTGTTAACTCATGTTTCTAAGATTGAGCATTAATTGTCAACTAATGTGCTCATTATCAACTCCAGTTTTTAAGAGATGTATAAAATTTATGTTTTCAAGATTAAGAATATTTGTTATGGTATTATAATAAAAGACAAAGTTACACATTAGAAACAATTAACGTATGAATACAAACAGACACAGTAACGTATTCATAGAATTTAAAGAAAAGACTGCCAGAAGAACAGCGAAATAAAACTGATATTTCGCAGAATTCCCCCATCAGAAAACAAGTGTTCTATTGTAAAAAAGGTATGAATGAGAATGAATATCTTCACAATATAAGAGATGCATTTCTTGTATTGTGAAGATATTCTCATTCATACCTTTTTCTACATTTGTCAACATATGAATACCCTTACCGGTTTAGAGACGCACGGTGTTTTCATTTTTAAATTGGTATGTATTAATTCAGACGCGATGGTCAGCCAAGAATTCCATACGTGATTTTGTTTAGCAGTCAGACGTACGATTCTCCCGATTCTCCAGAGTTTAATCTAGATATTTCTTAAGATTTGAAGAATATGAACCAGTATTGGCTTACGCGACTATCGGAAATATTTAACCCATTCTATCAAGCGGCCGAGATTTCTTAAGTCAACCCTTAAAAGCAGTCCAACGTACTTTCGTGGCGACAGAATCACAAAAAGAAAGAAAGAAAAAAAAACTGAGTGGTGTGGAAAACATCCACTTTTTACGTTCAGTCCACAAGATCCTTTAATCAGAGCAGACGTGCGGCTTCAGGTGAGTGATTGATGATATATATGGAGGGCCTGCACATGGCGCGAGCATGGGGGGGGGGGGGGTACTACTCTCGCTGCCACTCATTTGAAACGGAAGAAACAAAGGGAGAACAAAAAATAAAACATGGTTATCGACAGCTGGTGTCTTTTATCCAGTGGTACCTGCTACTGTGTTCTGTTACGGTATGTCTTCCCCCATAACGTAAAATCAAGTCAAAATCGGATTTTCCAATCAGTTGCGTAAAAGTAAAACGATACACAAAAATCCGGATTATCCATAGGTCTTCTCGACAGAAAGGGTTGTAAAAAATAGTGTTTTTTCATACACTTCGTCCCTTTGAAAACTGCTTACTGCCATGCGGATAAGTGGAAGGGGACCTGCCTAGATTGAGGTTATCTGATAACTGGTAACCGCCGCCACTGCATTATCAAGAAAATATGGTACAGTATACAAAGAATATGAAGTTACGACAAAAAGATATGTATGTATATTAGACGTCTGCGTTTTAGGGTGTTAAGTAAATGATAAGTGCGCAGTGTTAGTGTAAGTTCTACCCATATGCCCTTGGCCCCAAAGTGTTCGAAAATTGTCGTTTTAGTGTGAATTGTAACACTTTCATTCGCTACGGTTATCATGCGAGAAGTCCACCCTGAGATCCATCAAAGGCAAGAAATGTTTTTTCACTCATATCAACGAATTTGAACATCAGCGTCGTGGGGCGGACAACACACGTGACGGGAATTTCATCTCAAGAAGTCACGTCAACGAGTCAAGCGGCGCAAAATCTCGTCAGCGGGTCAAAGCCAAGCAGGTCAGCTCGTCGTAGGTCATAGGTCAAAGCAACCGTCACAGTAAATCATCGTGTCTACGTCACAACAGGTGACCTGAAGTTTCCCACTACGCACCTGATATTCTTCGATGCCGCAAGAAACACTTCGCTTGGAACACTGCGTCGCCACGCCAGAAGACGAATAGAAAATTGATGGAGATAAAGGTCGCCTGATAGTATTTTTTCGTGTGATAAGAATTATGTCTTAGATAATAAGAGGCGATAACGGAACCTATGCATTTTACCTTTCAAAGCTGGATAACAGTTGTCTTAATGTTATATTTTTATCAGTTTACTTTTTACTTCCGTTCCTTATTATTAAGGTCTCCCTCCTCCCTCCTCTGTCTGTCTGTCTGTCTCTCTCTCTGTCTTCGAACTACCGTTACACCTACACTAAATCAAGATATTATGAGATAAGATAAAATGCTTATTATCCAACTTCTAAATCTTGCGTTAGTGACACTGATAAAAATTTTCATTAAACATAAGAGCCTTTGTAAGATGTGTTATCTCAAGAGGAAATTCTCTGATATATATACCATTTTTTAAATTATATGTATTTTAGTTTTTTGGGAGACGAGTAGTTCAAAGGCAAGCATACATGTTCATAAGCAGCAGGGTGGACAAAAGATGAATGATATTACAGAGGAAGGGGGGACGGAGAGGGAGAGAGAGAGAGAGAGAGAGAGAGAGAGAGAGAGAGAGAGAGAGAGAGAGAGAGAGAGAGAGAGAGAGAGAGAGAGAGAGAGAGAGAGAGAGAGAGAGAGAAATTCCTGGCAACTGATAGATAGATATGCAAACATTTATAGAAAAAGGAAAAGAGAATAATTAAGATCAGAAGTGGTCCCACCGAGCTGCCAACCCAAATGACAAATTCTACCCGAAATGACATTACAAAACCCAAGCAGGAAATGGCGTCTTAACTGTTAACCTCAAGGATCCGGATGTAAGATATCTTTCTTTTTAATCATACATTTCTTTTTTTTTACGTCTTTGTTGGGGGAAATTACGTAACTTCTAGCATTCTTCCGTCTGTGCTTTTAGGAGGCCGATATTAAGGTAACGTCCACCGCCTCGAAAAGATATTGGCTATTTAATGGCGTGTCCCACATTTGAAGGCTATCATAGTATGACGCACCGGTATGAATTAAACTCTCGACGAGGAAGTTGGGAATACGTGTAATGGCCACAATGATACTTATGTTGGTTATCTGTTTGACCATAGTACCGCTGCTGTTAAACTTCGTGTCCGATTGGTTGATTATTGAAGTGATTTTGCGTCGTCGACATTGTACTCTAAATAAAATACTAATTCATCAGTGTCATGTCTCAAAAGTTGGCTTGATGCGATCCACTGATTAAGAAATTGGATTTTCTACTTAGTGTAAAAAAAACTGTGCCAGTTTTGTTAGCGAGATAATAATGCAATCTGTTTAGTACACTAATATTCAAGAAAACACTGTCACTCAAGACAAATGATAAATGTGATATATTGAAAATTAAGATTGAAAAAGAAGTTTATTTCTTTTTGACAAAAATAAAAATTAAACATGAGGCATGAATAATTACTATTTCCATGCTGTGTATGTACAAGAAAATACAAGTTCTTTGATATTCCTTCCGCTTTGTTATATAATAAATATTGCAATCATGTGGATATATCAAGTGTAAGTTCTACCAATACAATGAACTGTTAAATAAGTAAATAAATTAAATAAGTATACTGCAAGTGCAACCAGGCAAGATCTTGTCATCAGTAAAACATGTCCCTCTGTTTCATCGAAATAACAAGTCCATTGTTTACATCCATCAAAACAACCTCATCAATATAATTTTCAACCGACATCTTCCAGGAAAAATGACTGGCCAGACCACCTATTTTCAATTTTTATTTCTCAGATCACAGTAGTTGGTCTGAAGGAGCATAAGGATTACAGCCACTGACATTTGGAAGCATGATGCTAACAAGGACTATGTGGGCAACACCTATGCGAAATTCTGCGAGATAATTAGATTTTACGTAAATGAAACTACGTTTTACACATATAAAAAATCCTCCATGGACTCACCCCGTCCTCTTATGTATAACGAACGATAACTGAGACAGCCCATGTAAAAAATCCATACAAACTGAGTGACAAAGTCCTTCTTAGTACATAATACCTATTAATCTCTGGCCTTCCAGACATGCACAATTAGATAAAAAATAAAGAGACGTCTATTGTAGCCCTAAACGCGCCTACTCGTCGTAGAGCGGCGTCTGGTCCCCCCCGATGCTCATGTTGGTGGGCGAGTGGATGGTCTTGGGCGTGGAGCGCGCCGAGCGGGGCGTGGCGCGCGGGTTGTCGTAGTCGTGGTAGGGGCGCGGCGTGCGGTCGTCGTAGCGCGGGGTGCGTCGCGACCCGTCGTCGGGGTAGCCCGAGCTCGAGGCGTAGCGCGAGTCGCGGGGCTCCGAGTAGCGCGGCGTGCTTCGCCCTCCGTCGTGGTGTCTCGGGGTGGCCCTCCCTGCGTCGCGGGCGCCGCCGCCACCGCCGCCGCCCTTGGCCTGCACCCACGCGGCCGCCGCCATCTTCCAGTCCATCTGCTCCGAGCGGCTGCTGGCGGAGGGAGTGGAACGCGACGGCTGGCTGCTGTGGCCGGTGGAGGGGCGGTGCGAGGGCGTGCGGTTTCCGACGCTCGAGTACGAGGGCGTCTGAGAGCCGCTGTAGCGCGGGGTGGTGGAGGGGCCGGGCGTGGCGTAGGGCGTCATGAAGGGCGTCTGGCCGGAGGGCGTGTACGGGGTATTGGCGTAATTGGAGTAGCCTTGAGAAAAGGCCCCCGGGGTGTGCGCTCCGTAGGGCGTGTTGGTAGCTGCCTGAGACAGGTTGTGCAGCATGTGGGGGTTGAGGTTTTGTGCCACCTTCTGGATGGTGGAGGCGTCGACGCCCATAAGGTTGGGCGTCGTGCCGCCCATGTAGGGTGTGCGCGTGGACATCATGCCCGGCGTGGCCCCCATGCTGGGCGCGGGCCGCCGGAAGTTCACCTTGAACCACTTGAGGAGCGACGCCAGGTTGGGGTGCTGCATCCGGCCGCGGAACTTGAAGCCCTCGGGCGTCACCGTCACGAACTCGTGGATCACCTTCACTCGCGGCAGGTAGGACAGCATGAACTTGCCCGGTAGGTCCTTCCTCGGCGAGAACAGGTAGGGAATGGTCTTGGGGTTCTTTTTCTTCTCCTCCTTCAAGATCTCGGAGGCCTTGTTTTTGTCGCCCATGACAGACTCTTTGTAATACTTATATTCCAAAATCTGGCGGACGTTTATCGCCATTGGTGAAATGTATCTGGCAATAATTTCGTCAAGATCCTCAAATTCCTCGTTCATGATCCACAACTTCTGGCCGAGCGAAAAGTCGTTTTGCTTGTCCTGTTCCCGAATGTCAATGTGCTGGCAGATCCCTTCGGTGACCTTCCACGTCGCCGTGAGGTGGTCGACGCCCTTGCTCGAGGGCCGGATTATGACCTCTCCCTGCTCGAGGTGCTGCATCACCTTCTCGGCCTCATTGTAGTCAATATTCCTGAAGGATGGATGAGCAATAACGCGCTTCTGGTACTGCGTCTTCTTCTTGTCCATTTTCTTTCTACTGGTATTCATGTCCTTCTCCTCCGTCTCATAGTCATAGTAGGCATCCTTGGGAGCCTTCCATTTGCCATCACGATCCTGAAGGTCTGAGGTTCGAGAAGTTAATTCTACTGAAAACTTCTCTGGGTCGATCTTCATGATGCGACACAACACAATGCCATTCCTCTTTACTCTCTCTGCTGGATTAGTCACAGTCTTATCTGATAAATTCTTAATGCTAATAAACCCAGATATCCCATTGTCCAAGCGTACACGAATGCCAATGGCCTGGCCAGGGCAATCCCCTGCATCAAAATGATTCCACACCTCACTAAGCTCGGGGAAGTCATTCTTCAAGCAAAACGGACACTGCCAGAGACCAGTATCTTCATTTCTGACAGGGTTGGCGTTGTCCAGCTGATCTCCTCTAGGCTTTCGGTGAATGAAATTGGTTACGGTCACTTGCACTAATTTACCCACATAGAATGTTTCTGGAGACTCTTTGGTCAAGATGTTGAAGATTTCCTCTGGAGTAGGAGATCTGAAAGGCATCCTGAAGTCCTTGTATCTGTGATTCAACTCGTGTCTTATGTCGTACAAGGTTGTATTCTTCTTACCAAAGCCTTGGTTTTGGAGTTCAGTTGCGAATGCTTCTAAATCTAATTCACTCAGTCGTTCAGGAGTTTCCAAAATTTCTTCCAAAGCTTCTGCAGGTTTACCTTCCTCGTCCTCATACTCCAAGGCATCAACTGCCATTTTTCTTGCCCAGTCGTATGCCTCTGGATGAATACGCGTTGAATCGAGAACTTCAATATAGTTATCACTATCACCTAGAGCATTGGTGTCAATTTTAATGAATCCAGCACAATTAATAAATACTTTTGGACCCATGTGGAAATTGACCACCAACTGGTTACGATTCTCTAGACGCTGATTATTCTGCTTCATATTCTTTATGAGAAGGTTAGCTTTACGAGGTCCCAAACCACACACAAACTGCACTAAGTTCTGAGTATATGGGTAAGCCACAGCACGATTCAAGTCTACACCAACTTCATTTGTACGATTAACAAATTCAGTGTACAATGAATCAAGGAGTTCAGCATTATTTATTTGATCTTGCAATGAATGGAACTTTATATTGAGCAACTCATCATCAGCATTGCATAACTGCGAAAACTCGATTAGAGGGTCTTGGATTCGGCGGCCAATGGAGATGGCCTGTCGCAGCAGAGGGGGATAGTCCAAGAAATCAGCCTCACCCTTCTTGGACATGGCATAAATGTGAGCCAAGTCATTGTCAATAATCTCAACATTGATCTTGGGGAACTGCTCTTGCTCTTCCAGGTCTTTGAGAATCTGGATCAGGTCTTCCTTGACCATGAAGCCTTCTCTGGACTCTCCACTGACAGCCACCACGTGAGGTTTGCGCCGAATGATGAACTCCTGCATTCTCCTGATGTCATTTTCCTTAGCAAGAGCATCCCTCTCATTGTAGGCATTGCGTCTCTTGAGCAAGTGAGGAAGGCGGATGTACTCACAGCAATCTCCATCTATGTCAATGCAGCAGCCGAAGGCAGCCTGGGAAAGGTCAGGCACATACGCAATGGAGAAGACCCTGAAGCCCTTTGAGGTATCCCAGTCGTCCTCGTCCTCATCGGAAAAGTCGCCAGGGTTGTATGGCGCAATTTTAATCCAGTTGTAGAGCTTGCTGCAACACTGCTCAATCACATGGTCCTTGGACTCTTGCAGCAGTCTCTGGGACAGCTCTCTTTTTAGGTCCTCAATTATCCTCTTAAAGGCAAAGGTCACTGCTCGCCCTCTCAAGTCATTCCAGTCTTGGACCACTTGTGAGAACTCATCCCGATAGTACAGCTGCTTCATTTCATCCAAGTAGCTCAGCGAGGTGTTGCCCTCAATGGTGTCAGACAGACTGATGGTCATGAGTTTATCCTCTACACCACACTTGAGTCTCAGGAACTGGTCTCCCTGCAAGTCAGTGACAGGTTTGTCCTTCAAGTATTTGATGGGATAGAGTGGGTGGTGTTCATCTACGATCTTTAGGCCCTGAGGGGTAGGTCTGGCACTGATCCTAGCTCGCTCAAAATAGGCTTCACGCACTGTACGGCGGACAAGGGGTTCACATGCTAACTGCCAGCCAACCATTCTCACAGCAGCTTCCAACACTCTTTCAGGAGTAGAACACATCCTGGAAAAGACAACATTATGGACATTAAGTTTTTGTTCAAAACAAATCTGAGTTCTCAAACTCATAAAATAATGCATCACCAGTAGCTGGCAACATTTATGTACTTGTATTAATTTCCCATCTTAGGAATCTTTTTCATCACAGGACACAAGAAAAACATTTCTTTTCTCAGAGCTATCTTCCAGAATGAGAAGAACTTACTTCGAGATGTGCTCCTCAGCCTCCTTGAGGGGGTCCTCCTGGCACTGTTCACAGTCAAACCTCTGGTAGTTGTCACGCAAATTTTCACCAAACTGTTCTGGTGTCAGACCAAACTTCTTGGTCAATGCCTCTGTAAAAAGAAGGAGAGTCTATTAAGAAATTTTTAAATCATGAAATCATACAAATATTTACTTTATAACATTCTCGAGAGCTTTATCAGAAAAAAAAAAGATGTGGTAGAAATGGAAGTAGTACAAGCACTACAAATAGAAGTAGATCAAGAAGAAACAGAAATAGCCCAATAATTTCCAAGTTACTAGAGATGTCTATATCAAACATCTGGCTATGGACCCAGCCCATTCAGTCTTTCTTTTATTCAAGTTCTCCCCTCTATCCAACTCTTCAAAGAAAGCTAGTCTGTCCATGAACTTTGATTATGTTTGCAAGACTAACAACTCCTAGTGTGTTATTACTAAATATACCATATCCGTTTTATCAACATAAATAGCAAAAGTCCATAGCATTTTGCTCATGTGATACAAGTTAAAATGACAATCATTTAAGGACTCTAAAAGAATACAAATATAAAATTCTTCGAACTTCCCATTAGCTTCCAAATTCTCAAAAACAGAAAAGGATAAATAAAAGTAATAAAAAATATAAAATGCAAAAATAAATAAGGAAATACATGGGAAAAAAAAAGAGTCCATCTGAAGACAGCAAAGAGAAAATGGAGAATTAAGAAATTACTCACCAATGCCAGCTTTCCTTAGGAGTTCATACTCATGCCGCCTCACTGCTTTCTTCAGCGCATCAGTGTCCTCTGTAGCCTGTTGTGGCTCTTCCTCCACTTCCTCTTCCACTTCGGTTTCCACTTCTGTCTCCACCTCTTCTTCCTCCTCAGAATCATCGTCATCCTCTCCATCTTCCTTCTCTTTCTCTTTCTCTTTCTCTTTTTCCTTTTCCTTTTCCTTTTCCTTGTCTAGCTCTCCCTCTTCATGTTCTTCATCTGAGTCTTTTTCATTATCACTTTGTTTTTCCTTTTCTGCCTCATTCTCTTTGTCCACCTCTTCATCATTTTCCTTGTCTTTCTCCACTTCATTTTCATTTTCATTTTCATTTTCCTTTTCCTTTTCGGCTTCCTTATCCTTTTCCTGCTCGTCTTCATCATCATCATCTTCTATGACGAAACCCTTCTTCTTTTTCTTTTTCTTTCTCTTGACCTTTCTTAGAACCTGAAAAGGAATATCAATTCTTAAGAGTATGAACTTAAAAGTGCAAATAAACATCCATGAAATAAAAAAAAATATGATGTGCAACAATCCCCTAAATGTGAATTCAAGCAAATAACTTGAAGGAATATTTTCTTCATTTAAATCAGAGAATGTAGTATTTGTATCAAGAAAAATTCAACTGAAATAAACTTTTAAATTTTCTCTTTTTTTTATTTCTTCCTCTGCTAAACATACAGTTTAAGACCCAGCAGGGGAAAATAGTAAGAAAAAAAAAAAAAAGAAAAAGAAGAAAGAAAAAAAGTAATCATTAAAAAATGAAAATAATAATCAAGAAAGTTTATTCATAAAAAAAAATTTTAAAACTGACCTTCACAATCTTTGTAGTGCGCACTGTATTCTGCCTTTCTTTGTTCTTGGCCTTCATGTGCTCGTGCATTTCAGGCAGATCCTTTCCATAGTAGAGCAAGAACTGTTTGTAGCAATCATTAAACTGCTCCGAGGTTTCCAATTCATCTATTCTGAAAATCCGAAAGCACAAAATGTACAATTATTCCTTAAAAAAGAAAAAGATACATAAATATAACAAAGTACACAAACAGTTTAAAAAGAATAAAAAGGTAAAATACTAATAACAGGCCAAAATAAAGCCAAATAACAAGCCTTCTGCTAGTAAATGGTAAATGGCTTCCCAAAGACAAATCAGGACCTCTCCATCCAACAGACGTGTCATCCAAACTCATTACCTCTCAATATCCTCTTCCTTGAGCATCCTCACGTTCTCTGGAAGGGGCGCATCCAGGTCCCTCATGATCAGGTCGCCCTGGAATTCCGACATCATCTGGAACCTTGACCGCAGGTTCTCCTTTCGGCGCTTCAGCTGACACCACTGTGGACAGGCGGATGAATTAATGGCTTTGTAGGATTTTACACCTTATCCTAACAAAAGAAATGGTTCTCTCTTGTTTAAATGGCAATAGAGACAGACTACTTGTTTTGGGAAAATTGATCTGGGAAGAAACAAGATAAAAGGAGCATAAGAGGGTAACACAAAAATTAGACATATGATATAAAAAGGAAAGGGACAATGAGGAAAGAAAATAAAGGAAGAGTGAAAAAATAATAACATAGTAAAAAAGCAAACAAGAAAGAAAGATTACAAAAGAAAATCCAAAAAAGCAACAGTCCTTCTAAGTCATACCTTTTCATCCCATCGGTAGACCTTCCACAGATCGTGAATGTTCAACTCAGGCTGGACTTCCTCCTTTCTGTAGAAAGCAATGAACGGAACCTCACAAGTGGAATTCCTCATCAGATCTAGGGCATTGTATATCTTCTGAATCATGTTCATGTCACGGCGGGAACGGAGCTTAGCTTCATCACGTCCTTCCTGAAGTGGTCAATAAAAGAGAGTTAGTTCAGAATATTTGGTCAACAGAGATAAGCTAGGTGTGAATATTTAAGTACTTGAACCTTAAAAGTACATGGTACACTTAAAAAAGATGGTATTTCAATCATTTACAGCTATTACAAAAGTTTACTAGAGTAATTCCTTATAAAAAAGAAGAAAAAGAAAGAAAGAAAGAAAGTAAAGTTTTCTCATAGACCCCTTATTAGTGATGGCAATTAATCCGTTGGGTCCGGTTGCATCATGGAAATCACACTGCCAAAAATACGAGCAGTGGGTTATGTAAGTGGCCAACATTCCAGGCGTGCAGTGCATAGGCCAGGTGCGCATGAACACCAAAAGTTATTTTGAGTAAACTTTATAAGCTTTTATTCTATTTTCTCATGTCCATATCTGTCTTTTTATTAGCTTTGTGCACGGAAATTAAGACAATTCCATCTGGATAGACTCCATATCATCTCTCAATGTAGTAGATAACTCAGTGCAAGAAAGAGTATAGAAAATTTGATTGTGTGTCATATACCTATTTTTTTTTTTTTTTTTTTTTTTTTTTTTTTTTTTTGTAATTTTCAATTTTCTGTAATACAACCTGCACCACTGGTAACAGCGGCCAGGAATACAGTGTGCGGTATGGAAATGGTGTCCTCTCTAGAGGCAGCACTCTAACATTCCACATTCGTTTATCGGTAGGAATAATGCTAAAGTTCCCTTCTAAGCGCCTAATAAGTCAGATCACACTCGTGGCGAGTCTTTTCCATCACCCTGGCCTTCGCTCATGACTGCAAGTTTACGTCATCCAGCCCATGGTCATTTTGCCCAATGACTGCATGTTCATGTCACCTGGCCTTCAACCCAGATTTTTCCATGACGTGACTCCAATGTCATTTGGGTCCAAGGGGTTAAGCAATACATTCAAGTCAATTTAAATAGCAGCATGACAGTCCTTTAAGAGATATATTTACCTGATGACAAAAATGGACATCCATCTACTCACTCAACCAACAATGTTGTCTTTTCAAATACCTGGTTTGATATATAAGGCTTGAAGAATGCATGATGATAGATCCACTTGGCTTCCTGATCGAGCTCCTTGTCTGTAGCGCGGTCGTCACCTTCTCCTCTTGTGCGTGTTACAGGGATCTGTCGCAGCTGGAACCTTTCAGGGATGTCTGACTTGCGGATTTCATGATCCTGGTCTGTGAGATGTCCTCGTTCAAGCTCACTAGGCTCAAAGACCTGGAAGAGGAACAAGCAAAATTCTAAGTTAGTACTGTGACATTAAAATTTTATCATAATTCATTATTCGACCAAGAATAATAAGACTGATTATTCTATCAACACAAAGAATTAAACCAATATGATACAGGGGCATTATCATTTCACACACCTCATAGATGGATTTCTTGATAGGCTTCCTGCGTTCCTTTCTACGATGCCGTCTCTCTTTCCCCTCAACTTCTTCATCTTCCTCATAATCCTCATCATCTTCCTCCTCTTCATCTTCAGCTTCATCATAATCTATATATATAAAAAAATATTTAATACTCTTTGTAATTTTGCTTTAAAAGTCTTTATACATTATCTAATGATACATCAATGTAGACATTCCCAATACATTCCTTCTCAACCCATTGTGGAAAATTCTTGATTGCATATCTTTTTAACTGCCCTACATCTCTCCCCAAGACCTCCCATTTTACTGACCTTCATACTGCTCAAATTCTCCGTAGTCAAAGTCACAACCGAAGATATCTCTTGCAGCCTCAAGACCTTCGTCCTCAAAGATGGCCTTCTTCTTTGTCTTGGCGATAGGCTTGCCATCATCATCCACAATGAAGCTTCCTTCGCCATCGGACTCTTCCTCCTCCTCCTCCGAGGCATAGGTCTCAGGCTGCTGGGGGACCTGGGGGGCAGGAGGGGCCTCTTCGTCGTCCTCCTGTAGAGGGTCAGGGATTCCATTAGCATTTCCAAATACTCTTTACAGTGTATCTGTTGCGTTCAGCACTCTTCACCATGTTAGCAGAGAGAATTCCCTTCTGCTTCATGCCACATTTGGAAAACTGCTCGCTCCTCACTACAGCCAGTTATAACTAAGAAATAAAGACTAACAAATAATTGTATACAACTTAATTTCATCACATTCATCCAAAGGGAAGGCTATCACATAGAAAAAGAAAGAAAACAAGAAAAGGGTAACGTAGAATTCCAATTCCAAAAAATAATGGCTAATCCAATTATGTTATTTAGTATACTACTTACATGCTCAGCTGGTTTGATAAGATATGAAAAAATCTGTTTCATCATAACCTGAACAGGCTTAATTCCACCAAATGAGACTGAACATATAATTTCTGGGACTTAATCATCTCCATTCTCCGGATTGCCAAGCCAAGTTGCAAAACTAAACAGAAATGTTGTTTTATCAGGAATACCAGCCTTTCAAGACCTGCCTTGGTGTCATTGCAACATCAAAATATATTTTCCAAAAAAGTAAAACTATAAGCCATTACTGTACCTTTTTTTCAGGCTCAGTAGTGGGTAATACTCAGAAGAAAAAATATCCTACCTCTCTCCTCCATGAAATTTGAATTATAGATATTAGATTATAATGAAAATTAAAGTTACGAGATAACTGTTAGCAATTTCCAATGTCTAATTAATTATATCCTGTTATGATGTAAGATACCTATTATGAAGAAATTTCTTTTAGTGTTGTAATACTTAATATAAATATAAATTAATTACACAATGAGTGTATATGCAGCCCACAAACATTGATAGCTTCTTTCTTAAGTACTTCTAACATGCAGTCTGATAATTAGTTCTGAAAATTAATCTATAAATATGTTTAAGTAAAACAGAAAGAACACTGACTTAGTGAAAAGGAAAAAGAAAGAAAAAAAGGAAAAACATGAAACTGATTAATTAACTGTGGAAAGTTTTAGCAAAACTACTCGACAAGGGGGAATATAACAACACATTCCCGTAATTCTTAAGTCCTAGGTTGAATAAGAGAGAAAGAAAAACAAAAAGAGAGTTAAAGTGTAAGTAAAAAGTGTACATATGAACCAGGACCACTTACTGCATCCTCCTAAGACGGCAGGGTGTGGGAAAACAAAAAATAAAAGCAATGCATATGGAGTACGAAGCCATAAAACACTAATTACGCTCTCCTGAAAATCTCCCTTTAACATTTACGGTAAAAACATCTATTTCAAAATAATGACATTAACAACAAACAAAATAGCCTCTGCAGACCACCCACAGGCAAGGAAGGCCAGGCAGCATAACAATGTCCTTAATAGGTTGCAGTAGGTTGTACAGACTACTTCTAATGTGAAATTAATATCAAACAGGAGATCTGCATTGAGCTAATAAGCAATTTTACATTGTGATTTTGAATAAATTATATTTTTCAATTAATTCTTGAATGTATACCTTATGAGACTAACAAAAAAATGCTGCATCAGATAATGACCAGAATAATCACTGAAATCATTTCAAAATAGTAAAGCTGTATAAAGTTATCTTACACTACACTTAAATAACTAAGTAAAAAATAAAACTAGATGTATTTTGCTCCCTCACATTATGGGAATGATTAAGATGGACATGACAAATGAAAATCTTATATCAATCACTTTACCTACAGTTAAAAGTCAAAACTGGCAATTTCACACTTCCCATGTGCCGCAGCAGAGTTTACCATTTTACAAACTTCTTTCCTATCTCCATAAAAAGTTAGGGAAAGCAACAGGGGCCATGTAGTTCCTTTCTTCACCAAATATGTTGATAAAAAGGAGAGCTTAAGAAAATATGTATCCAGGGTGGTTTTCCTTTCAAATGTCTTGAGGATAACAGGTTATCACATGCATACCATATATATCAAAACACAAACTACAGTAGTTTTGCACTAACTGTCAGCACTTTCATTCTCTTCCACATCACTACATGGAGAACTTGAAGATATGCAACAAAATTCACCCATACAATATGTTATCGCACACATCTAAAAAATGGAGGTATATATAATCTATCCATCTATCTATGTTCTTAAAAAGCAGCCAATTGGGAAAATGGGGGGGAAAGGAAACACCTATCAACTGAAAAACTAGCAAACAAATTCCCTTAGAATGACCGCCAAAAATGAACAAGTTTTTTCTACCATTCTGCTGCATATAGGTACAAAAATCATGTTGCAGCCAAGAAATACAAAGAAGCAGTCTTGTTTGTTTTTGTTTATCTTTTTCTTTTTATGTGGTTTGTATCTTTGTATACTTTAAGCATCATAAGTGAATGAAAATGGAATTCCTCGCAGTTAGAGTACGTATCCTTTTCATACACCAAAGGGTTAAATACTCTCACCTGTGGAACACAGTACAAGGAATATGTTGATTGAGAAACAACTGGGATGAATACAGGGTAAAAGGATGAATAACGATGATGAATAAAAACTGCTAAAGAGCAGCCCTAAGGGACAGCTGTAAACTTTACTCACATCACCCGATCCCTCGAAGATTTCTCTCCTGATCTGTCCCTGAACGTCCTCGTCCTCAGCATCTGAATCTTCATCCTCAATTCTCTTCAGCCTTTTAAATTTTTTCTGGAATATATTTACTGAGCGTTTAACAAATATTTATATGAGTAATACAATTCTCATTCCTTATCCTGATATCTAATGTATTAAATTAACAACTTTTAGGAACTCTTTCATTAAAGTAGGTTTTGTACGTTACTTTGATCTGTCAAGTTGTATAAAATGATATACTTATTTCTACATATATAAAAACAAACAAATATACACTGCCATTTTCAAACCTACCTTTCTGTCTAGTTTTACACCTATATTTTCTTCAATGAGATCGAGATCATCTTCATCTAAGTTGTCAGCGTCCAAGTCATCATCATCGTCATCGTCTCGTTTTCTTTTCCCTTCCACCTCGCTATCTGACCCCCCTTCGTCTTCCTCTTCATCATCATCATCATTGATAAACCCCTTGTTTTCCTCTTGCATCATTTCCTCTGCATAAGGCACATTAGAATTATATATAAGTTAGTTAGAGTAAATCTAAAATGTTAAAGAATTCTTGAATTACATAAACACTCCTTGCTTATATATATACACAATATAAGGAAAAAACTGAATACTGATAAACTTGACAGTATCACATCTAGCAACGCACCATCTTCGTCCTCCTCCTCTGACGAGTCTTCTACAGATTTCTTGAGTTTCTTGAGTTTTCTTTTTTCCTCCTCCTCCTCCTCCTCCCTCTCCTCTCACTCTCCTCTGCCTCCGAATCTATGAAGTGTGACATTGTTGCTTACTCTCGCCTGGAACAGAAAATTATCAATTTATTTTTGAAACTGTGTAAAATTATGATGTTTGTGATTTTGGTGAGAGAAGCAATTTGGTCATTCACTATTTCTTGTGATGAGAATAAACAAAATTTAAAGCCTGTTGATATGTAGGGCTGATAGGAAAGGAACATCTAAGTAAAGCTATTCAGCATCATACACCTTTAAATGAAAAACATTCCCACTAAAAACCTAATTATGATAATTTAATACCGGGAAAAAATAGTTTAATGGTTATTACATTGTAACCAAATAACAATAATGAAAGAGAAACAGCAAACCAGTATCTTTAAGAATATGTGATAATTATCCAGAACAGAAATGCATGAATAGAGAAAAACTAGCTTAGTGTTAACTGGTCAGAAAACGATCACATTGAACAGTACCATGGGATCAGAGCTCTGGTAAATGCATAAAAATCATCCCTACAAACTGAAAATGTCAACAAAGGATTGCTTACACTGGCTCTTTATCTTGTACTACTTTCTTATTACATTATGCTGACCGAGGTTTGTTGCTGATAAGTAGATCTCTACTGTGATAAAGCTTTACTTTATGTACTATTGCAGTTTTAAGTTTATCACAATTACCACATTTTTTTGTTAACTTTGCATGGTCCAATTATGGACTTTCAACCAAACACTCAAAATAACCCTGTCAGGTACACTGTAAAACACAAAGTACTTTTTACAAAACGAAGGTAAGCCCACAATTGATTATCAAAGTCAGATGATCTATGCAACAGGCAATGAGTGGCCTCCAAGATTCAAACACTAGTAATAATCATCTATCTACTAACAAAATCATGTAAATGTTGTTAATCTACTGTTAAATAAGGAGCCAACACAAGCTCTATATTGATGAATATACATGGGTATTGCTTATTGGCTTTTCTGTAGCATGAAGCACCAGAAGCCAAATCATTGCCTGAAAAGGTTCTATTTTGTATTCAAGAAAATTATAGATAATTATATTTCTCATTCCTTATCCTGATTTGTACCCTAATCTTCTATTAGTAGTTTTCCTGTTCTAAAACTAACAAAGAAATATGAAAAATCTTACTGTCTACAACATACCCTGGAATCAAGTCTTTCACCTAGACCAATAAGCACCTCAAATAGAGGTAATTAATTGTACTTAGAGTAAACACAAAACATGCATCACAATATACCTTCCTACAATACATTCCTTTCCTAAGTAGGCATTTCAGTAGGTAGGTGGCTTGAAAACAGAGGTAAAAGACTTTTCCTAACAGACAAGAAGTATTTACACATGTTTGCATAGGCCTATACTCTAGGCTGTAACTATTACAACAGCTAGCCAGCCATTGATACCATCTAAACTTTTCATTCCAGTTCTTCTTAATTTATCTTCTTCTGCCTAATTATAGATATCAATGTTGATGAAGTGGTTTTACCTAGATTAAGCAGTTTGAAAGAAATTAACATCAATATGGATAACAGGGTAGTGGCTTACTTTCCCAACAATATTGATATCTACCTACAAGAAATCCACTGACTTCAACAATTCTTGGCATTGTTTCTTGTGCAAATGATTCATTGATGAGATTTGAGTACCATTTCCATCAACAATTTTGATTTGTTAGTCCTGATAGCAGGGGAGGCATGAAGTATATCAGGGAAAGTATGGGGAAAAACAGGCTTAAATAAGAAGAACAAACAAAAATCCATAAAACTAGCACAAAAAATGCTAAACATTGCATAATGAAACTCTACAGGAATCAAACCCACCTTTTGATAAAATCTACAGGATTTCACGACTTCCAAACCCAATTTAAACGTCCTGACCAATAACCCAACCTAACCTCGCAATTTAAGTTGCCATGATTAGGCATGCCCTTTGGGCACTGCCCAAGGGGAGGGTTGATGGGGGGCTATGCCCCTAACACCCCCTGGGACACATTCTCTTCACCCCGGTATGTACGGCAAGATAGAGCTACATCCATACTATAAAGGGTCTAGGGAAAACACGTAATGTAATTTCATTTCGCGAAATGGAATGAAAAGAGGTCATTTTTTGTGTGCAAACCTTGAGATACACATGCAGGCATCCCCTCTTGAACTTTATCCAAATACCCAGAGAGGATCAACTGTAATTTCGCCAGATTTTTCAAAGTATGGCCGATAATAGATGGGCCCACAGTCTGTGGGAGAGCTGCTGCCATGTAGCAAACACAAGCAACACTACTGTAGGGACCTACCAATAGATTGGCTCAATGCCGCCACCTGGTGATTTACTTCAAGCTCAAACAAACTAAAATATGAACATATGAACACAACTGAGACATAAAAAAAGGTGCATGTATCGCACATCATTTGGTAAATTACGCAATATAGTCCATTTCGTATATGACATTCCATTTCACGAAATGGAGTTTCATTACGTGTTTTCCCTACAGCAACTGTAAACAATAAACCAAATACCTTTATATATCGAAATACCAAACTGTCCAACTTTTCTTCGCTTCTCTCTGTGTGGATCACTTGATTTCTAATCACTTTTTTCGCATTATGGGCACTTGACAGGCCCAGATATCAAATTGCAATGAATTTAAAGTTTATTTCTTCTTCATTGCCATTATATAGTCCTAAGAATACCCTAGAAACAACGCATCACCGAAGACCAAACATTTCTTGCTGGCCTTCTGTCGCTGAATGACTGGAAATTTTCCTGTCAAAACTTGCACCCGGAAACGCACATATGTGCATGCATAAAAGGTTCTTCGGACCATTTCTCGAACAAAATTATGTAAATAAATTTTGAAATGATGTATAACAACATTAATAAAGGCCACTGAAAGCATAAATGTAGAACAGCAGACACTGATAACAAAATATTACTCTGACAAACGTGTAGTAACACATTAACTACTTAGTACATCACAATTATGAGTTCTGTGGTCAGTCCAATTTAACTCTCGACATGTAAACAAGATGATCAACTTTGCTAAAACTGGGCTCTCACCTCTTTTCATTTACGTAAAGCACCTTTGGGAAGCACTTGCACATATTGCCGTAGAAGAAAATTATCTTAGTTTCTATCGTTCTAGCATTTCGTATAGCTTTTACTACCCAACTCTGCCACTATCTCGTACTGTTTATTGTCCGAAATTAACAAAAAGGGTTGATTTGTGATTAATAAAAAAAGAAAAACAAAATGCAACTGCCGGCATCTACCCTTAGCAACAACAAAAGCAAATAATACTACGACGAACTTCGCATTTTCTTATTGACTCATTCAGGTACACAATGACATCTAGACGAAATCATAATGGAAAATACGACCCTAAAAAGTCCCAGGAAAGCCAATATAACCCAACTTTCTAACCCGTTTTGGGGCCAAATGACGGACTTGTCACAAACTTACGTCCTCTTCCCTTGTTTCGCAAACGCAGACCAAATGAATAAAAACCCAGCAACCAAACCCACCTCCAACCGAAAACAAAACAGGATAGTTCCCTTCGCTGCCTCTAAAAAACGCTAACTTTTCCCGGAGCTTGGGAAAATCAGGGATATCTTGCGACTTACCGCTGTTGTTTTGGGAGCGAGTCAATATGGCGGCGAGACGATGGCGCAGAAGACGTTAAGTCAGCGGAGGGAAAACAAGCAAAGCTGGAAAATATATCTTACAATAAAATTTACCCTAGTATCATAAATTTCCAATTTATAGCCAAAGTTTTCATCTTAAATTATTAATAAAAAATTCTTTGGCGAATTTTTTACTTTAATATGCAAAGCCCAAATAATCCATCCATCCTTGGAAATCCACATTATCCACATCAACCCAGGGGACTATATACCTTCAAAAAATAGCTTGCTAGTATTGAAAAAGAACATCATAAATTACAAAAAGTAATTATTATCCCTCAAACTTACACAGCAAGCCGAAAATCAATTGCCGTCGTCTGTCAAAACAGGGACGCGCAAGAAACCCCAAGGAACAAAATCAAACTCGGAGCGCCTTGTTTCAGCCACAAAATGCCACTTTTCCGGACGGTTTAGGAGGTAGGGGGCTCCTTCTGTTCCTATTCGACTCCAGTGTGTCTACAAATGACGCAGAATAAGGGAGAAAAGGCCTCAAAACACGAGCTGAAGAGAACCTAGTTTCAACCCTCGGACATGTAGTTACAACACCTTGATAGAGATAACATATAACATAATTTTTTCTCATTTTTTCAAGCCCCTCATGCTTTAGACTCCCACAGCTGATGAAATAAGTCAAGGATCCCCGTTTGGAGGATAGTAATGGAGAGATTTCAAGGAGGAAGAGGGGTTTATCTCCAAGGTCGTAATCGCATGGCCTTTAAACCCATTCATGAAAAATGGAAATACATGAATGTCTTTTTAATTTAAATTTGGTGGCTAAGATTATGATTTCCTTTGCTTCTATCCAGGAGGCTTGTAGATAGGCCCATTCCTCTTACTTAGTTCTGTTGCTGTGGTTTGTAGTTTATTCAAATTTTAAAAACTGCTTTTGTATCTTATTTTTCTGTTTGTGTTCTTATGTTTCTTATGTTCGGTGTTGATTTTGCATTTCCTTCTCTAATTTGTTGGTTGTGCACGAAGAATAACGGCTTAGGGGTATCTTGACTACGTGGCACTGACATTTCCAGGCAAATTTTACAATAATTGATATATCGAGAGAAAACAAAACCATAAAAGACTAGATTTCAAATCTTTGTAATTAGATTTCGTACCAGATTAAAGAATTTGATGGATATTGGATATCTAAGACATCTTTATAGAGTGCTTCCTATTGTCATTATCTTTGAAAAAAAACAAAAGTGTTTTGGTATTACATTTTGTTTCTTAGAAGAGACTATATTTACTGTTATTGTACAACGAGACACTACATTGTTAATGCTTGACTGTTATTTTCTGCACAGGTTTTGAGAGCAAGGAGTGGTACAAAGTGAAATAATCATAGTAAGAGGGTTTAGAGCTAAGGTTGCTTAGAAGTGCTGAAAAGGTTGTTAAAGATTAATAGGATTTGTATCGGTAAAGCATAAGGAAATATATTCTGATTGCAGGTAGACCTTGGAATTGATTTAAGAGTGCAGGCCTAGGGATGTTGATTTTCCTTATTGAAAATGATGATGATGGCAATGATGATGATAATGATAGTAATAATGTTAATGAAAAATAGTGATAATGATATTAATGATAGAAACATTGATAATAATGATAGTAATGATAGTAAGAGAAGATAGTAATGATAGTAAGAGAAGATTGATAGTAGAGAAGATAAGAATGATATAGTAATGATAGTAAGAGAATAATATATAATAATGATGATAATGATGATGATAATGATAATAATAATGATAATAATGATGATAATATGATAGTAATAATGAAAAATGGTGATAGTAATGATGATAATAATGATAGTAATAATGATAGCAATAATGATAGTAATAATGATAGAAATGATAATGACGATAATAATGATAATAGTAATAGTAATGATGATAAAAGTAATGATAATAAATATAATGATAATAATAATATTGATAATGATAATGATGATGATGATGATGATGATAGTGATGATAGTAGTAATGATAATGACTAATGATAATAGCAATAATAATAGTAATGATAACAATAATGATATAATGATAAAAATGATAATAATGATAATGACAAATAACAACAATTAAACAATTAAATAATTAAACAACAAACAACAACAATGAAAATTTGAAAATGATAATAGTGATGATAGTATTGATAACAGTATAAATGATGATGATAATGAGAACACAGGTATAATTTTTAAGATAAAGTGAAGGGCAATGTACCTCTTTGTTTTGCTTTAAGGATTTTTAGATCTTGATATATCCATTTTTCTTTGGTTTGCAGATGCTGAAATTTGTTTTTATGCACATCGCTACATGTATTTGATTAATTGTTCCAGTTTATTGTTGTTTGGATACACTGATGTTTTTTAAACGGTCAGTTAAGAAAGCAACTTCCTTGTAAGAAAAAAAAGGTATTTGTAGTATTTTTATTATCATTTTTACAAGGTTTTTGTCATTTGTCATTTAATTTTTTTTTTTTTTTTTTCTAATTAGCTGTTGTAAACAACTAACTGAGATTTTGGTACTTTTTATCCAAGAATACCTTTTGTAAGTATTGAATGAAATTTAATTTTTAGATTTTGGTTATTTATTTTATTGTTCTTATTTATTAGGGATAGGCTATGGCATTTTTTTCAAAGATTATGATATGAATACTATGAAACCAATAAGATATTTTGTAACACAAGAATTAAGTACTTCCTATTATCAACTACTATAGGTTATGCGGAAATAGATAAGACATTCTAAAAATCATGTAAGATTGATAGTAAACATGATTTGGATATCTTGATACAAGAAACGAGTATCACTTGGACTAGAGAATGGATTTTATGATTTATGTGTACTTTGGTGGAAGAAATACTAGCAACATGCCATATTCCGAGAGGTTCTCTGATTTGCCATTGCTTCTTCATTCTGATCAGCTGACACTTACTTCTT